TAAGTCCAGGAGTGGAGTCTCTTAGCTGCTGGCAGAGGGAAACAGTAGGTCATAAGTGGACAAGCCTATTTCTATTTCACAGGCTGAGCTCCTAAGATCTCTGTGTATGATTCAGTGAATTACTATGGCCCTTTCAGCCATAATCTTTGTGACTCTCAAAAAAGATTAGGTGGGAAAATAAGGTGCTTATGACCAACCAAGGGAGCTCTGGTAGCATAGTGGCTAAGGCACTTGACTGCTAACCAGAAGGCTGGTGGTTCAAACCCACCAGCCACTCCTTGGAAGGAAGATGGGGCAATCTACTTCTGTAGTGATACTGCCTCGGAAACCCAAGGAGGGGTTGCTATGAGTCGGGTCTGACTCGATGGCACATAACAACAACAACATGACCAACCAAAGGGACTGGACAGCCTGCTAATAATGCAAATAAGGTACATGGAATCCTTACATGGTGGGATCATGTATGGAATCCTAACAAGGGGTTTGGTCAGTTATGCCATCCTGTTCAGCTTAAAGGGAGCCAATCCCAGAAGATAAAAGGGGAAACTCATTGCCATCAAGAAAGAAGAGCTGGGAGTAGAATGCATCCTTTGGACCTGGGGTGTTTACACTGAGAACCTCTTAGACTCAGGAGATAGACAGAGAGAAAGTTGTAACATTGGAGAAAGCATGAGATGATGAGAAGTGACAGAGAAATGGCAGCAGCAGAACTGTGAGAGAGTGCAGTGGGCTTCCTGGCCCATGGAGCAAGGCTACAGTGGGTATGCTGACCCACAAAGTAAGAGAGCTGAGAGCCTTTGGGCAGGAGGTTTCATAGTGGAGTGGAGTGCCTCAGGGCACTTGTCCAATGGGGAAGGCTTGCCAACCCAGAAAACTAGCAAGCTGAGTGCCTTCAAGCAGAAAGGTTCCTGGTGGAGTGGGGCGCCTCTAGGCACTTAATCAGTGAAGCTAAAATGCTTTGTAACACTTGTTTGAGGAGGGCAGAATCCAGGCCCAAGTAGTACGAAGGGCTGAGGGCTGAAAGAGGAGGCCTGTCCTCGGAGGGCTGAGAGGAGCCCTGCACTGTCGACAGGAGGCAAGAGAGCTATCCTGCACTGAAAGGAGACTTTGCTATGTGCTTTCCGATCCTGATTCCAAGTTGTAACCTGTTACTTTCTTAAGAAACCACATAACTGTGAGTAAAGTCTCTGAGCTCTGTGTGGCCACTGTAATGAATTACTGAACTTAGCAGAGAAGTAGAGTTCTGTGGGAGGGATGGCTGGTGCCAGAATTGGTAAAAGGGATGGAGAGAGAAGATATGTCTGACTTCCACCCGATAGGAATTAGCCTTGGGCTGATGTTGCTGATTTTAATTCTCCTACTCCCTTGTGAAGTTAGATGACAAGGTCAGATGCCATTCTCACACCATTTTTACAGTGTGTGACTCTAGTTCTCCAGTACCTTACTACTCCAAGTGTGGTCCACAGACCAGCAGCACCAGTGTCATCTGGGGGCTTGCTAGGAATGAGAATCTCAAGCCCTACCTCAGAATGCTCAGGTGATCTGTGTGCACATTCACATTTGAGAGGGCTGTGTGGAAGAACCTGGGATTCTACTTCCTGTCTGGCATCTTGGGGCCCTGGGATGAAGCAGAGATCTCAAGGAGTAGGATGACCGCAAAGGCCATTATTTCTCTTGTTCCTGTGCTTCAAGGAGGCAGAATGCCTGATTTAGGGCCCCAAAGCTGGTAGCTGTGTCTTCTAATGTACCAAGGAGCCAATAAGTTGTAGCTGTAAACTCTTGGGTCTCCATTATTGAGCAGCCTAATCACAGAGACACAGAGGGGTGGAGAGCAGATGTTTCAAGATACTTTAAAAATCCATAGTTATGTCTGAGATTTATCTCAGTGAGGAGAGAAAAATGGAACAAGTGATCCAAAGGGGGCTCTTAGTCCTACTAAGTAATGACGTTCAGATATGAGAGCCAGACTCTTTCTCTCATCTCACACAGGTATCTTTAAATTGTCTAAAGGGATGCCCTTGGGGATACTGGGCTTTTGTGATGAACACAGCATGCAGCGGCTTACAAAGTCTTCTATCAGCTTTTTTTAATCAGTGAAAAACTTCTGCAAAATAAGCATTTCTGGAACTGGGCTGTGGACTGTCAATGGTGGGCTCTACAAAAAAGAGTTGTGGGAGGTAGAATTCTAAAAACAGCCCCCTCCCTCAGATTCCATGTCCTAATTCTTAGAAACTGTGAATATGATGGGATATCACCTCATGAGTGTGATATAGCAGAGCTGACTTCAAAATAGGGAGATTATCCAAGTAGGCCTATTCTAACCACATGAGCCCTTAGAAGCAGAGAAACGGTGGCAAAAGCAAAATCCAGAGATAATACTAGCGTGAGTATGACTTTACATTCCATTGCTGGTTGAAGATGTAGAGGAGTCATGTGGCAAGGAATATGGTTGGCTTCTAGGAGCAGTGAATAGCTCCAGGCTGATAGCCAGCCAGGAAACAGGAACCTCAGCCCTACAACCACAAAGAACTTAAATCTTCCAAGGACTTGAACAAACCTGGAAATGGATTATTTCCCAGGGCCTCCAGAGAGGAACACAACCCTGCTGACATCTTGATTTCAGCCCTATAGACTGAGCATCCAGCTATGGCATGCCAGACTTCTGACCTAAACAACTGTGAGATGTTTGTCATAATTTGTTACATAGCATTAGAAAACTAATACAAGGTTTACAAAGGAAGAATGGAGTGTCCGGTCATTCAATATGCAAAATGTTTTTGTTTTGCTTGATAGGGAGAGCATGGCCAAGAACTCTACATAAGGAAGGCAAAATTGAAAAAGAGACAGTATACTTTTTCCATCAAGATAACATACTCACAAAGAATGATTTAACTCTGGCTGGGGAGTTTGGGGTATAGTAATATGTGTGGATATTTTTCACTAATGTTGAGAAGTACTTGATTGAGGCTGAAGAGAGAGCCCCAAGGGTAGATGAGCGGTTCTGGTTTTAGTTTTACTTGCTGTCACCTGGAGACACAGAGGAGCTCCTCAGGAGCACAGAAAGACCTTGGGTCTAAAAAAGAACACTAACCCTAACCCTTCACACTGAAATGCCATCATTAAACAGTCTTTCATGAAGGTTAAACAGCCTGTGGTAGTTAAGGTCATGTGTCAACTTGGCTGGGCCTGGTTTTGAGTGGCTACTATCTGTAGTTATTCCCCATGGTGAGACTGGTAATCAACTCCATGGTAGAATCTACTGGAGCAGCTGAATAGCTGCTTTAGGGATGTGGTCTGCTTCCAGTATTTAAGAAGCACCTTTGAGGAAGGTCTCTAGCTTTTGGCATGCCTGGACCCTGCATGTAGCTGAGTCATTGTTCAGCAGCCTGCCATGCTGTCTGCCAGTCTTAGGACTCTTAATGGACTTGAATCAATGGCCTGCCATGTGGTTTGGTAATATCAGAACTGTGCCTTTTTACTTGTTGACCTTGGATTTATTAGCCTCAGCAGCCAGCAGCTGCCTGAGCGATGAGATGCCTCTAGTTTCAGTGGGCTGGGAGCAAGAGGTAAACCTGAAGCTCAAGGTAGAGGGGCTTTCATCCAGCCCCTAGAGCCTGGCACTTTGAACTTGGACACTAGCCTCCCAAACTGTAAGAGAATAAACTCCTATTTGTTAAAGCCATCCACCTGTGGTATTTTCTGTTAGATCAGCATGAAGTAAACAAAATACAGCCCTTCCTCAGATAGTCTTCTTGTAAATTTAAACATCCTATAGGAGCTCTGGTAGCATAGTGCCTAAGGCACTTGACTGCTCACCAGAAGGCTGGCGGTTCAAACCCACCAGCCACTCCTTGGAAGGAAGGTTGGGCAATCCTACTTCCATAGTGATACTGCCTCGGAAACCCAAAGAGGGGTTGCTATGAGTCGGGGCCAACTCGACGGCAAACAACTACAACAACAACATAGAGGCCATACAGGTTAGTTAAACCCCACACACTTGATGGTGGATGTGACTTGGGCCACTCTGCTCTTCCCTGAAATAGTCACAGGCCTCCACAGGGTCTAGAAAATTGTAAAATTCTTTGGATTTGATCCACACATTCTGCTAAGGGAAGGAGTGGGTGACAAGGTTTCTGGGAAAGCCAAGTGCAGCAGTCAGGGAACAAGGAAACCTTATTGGTGGTTGGTATCCCAAGTTTTACAATCATCATATCCTCCGCTTTCAAGGTCACAGGGGGATTTCACTCAGCTAGCCCTGCACCTGGGTGGTACAAATGGTTAACATGTTCAGTTGCTAACTGTAGGTTGGAAGTTTGAGTCTTCCTACAGGAACCTCAGAAGAAAGTCATGCAATCTATTTCCAAAAATACTAGTCATTGAAAACCCTATGGAGCATAGTTCTACTCTGATACACATAAGGTTTCCATGACTTGGAGTCAACTTGATGGCAATTGCTTTAACTGGGATAGTTTTTGCCCAAATTTTCATCTCCTATGGTATCTTGGGGACAGCAGGTCTTAGGAGAGAGAGGGGCCTGAATAGGGGCAAGGGAATTGAGAAGGAGAACAAACGCTAACTGGGACAGCTATATTCTTCCTCCAGGGATGGTCTTGCTAGAATAGCTCCCAGGCCAACTGAAATGGAATGGGTATAGGGGATGAATCTCCTCTCCCTTGAGCATCAAGCTGCCTTGCTGACATAGGTTTCACCTTAGCACCAAAAAATTTCACAGAACAGCTAAAAGAGGACTTTTCCCAAAGAAAGTCAACAATTACAACTTCAAGGAGCCTAGCTTCAATGACCACATTCCACCCTTTTAGTCATTCTTGGACCTTCTGTAACAGAGTCCTGCTCACTATAAAAGCTCAATACAAATATTTTTATGTTCATATAGAGATAATTCTTCACACTGAATGGCAAAGAATTCATCAAAGTCAAGGGCACCCATGCAGGGGCTTCAAAAGAACTCCCAATATCAGACCAGATGTAGGACCTCTTACAGGGGGGGTCGAATGGTGTGTATGGCCCTTCATCATCATCCTCATCTTCCTCTTCCTCCTCGTCATTTTCATTGTTCTCATTGTCATCGTTCTCATTCTCCGTCTCGTGTCCAGCCTCGGCAATGACATCATCCCTGCGGGTCCCGTTCACACTCCTGTCTGGGGCACTACTGGGCCCTGTCCCATTCTCCACAGTGTGCTTGATAGGGATTTTGATGGCCACCTCAGATTCTCCATTGGCATAAGCCCTGCTGTTTATCAGTCTTTGTCTCTGGAAAGAGAAAGGCATGCTCTTATCTTGGTCAAGGGGATCTAAAAGAACTTAAATCCAGAACCTGAGATCTTAGGATCTTTCCCAGACAGCTGACAAGGAGATGCTTCCAGATGACTCTGGAGTCAAGTTTTAAGGGACTCCTCAAAGTAATAACCAATCCAGAAAACCTTTTTATGGAAGGAAGGATTAACCTTTTATAAACCATTGGACCTTGAAAATCTCTTTAGAGGAAAATGTCTGCAATGCACACTTGCTTTCTATTGGGGTTCTTGATTCCTTATGCACTGTGGTGGTAACTTTCTTCTCCAGAGCACAGGAATCCCTAGTCTATATGCGAGAAAGCCATATAAACATATTTGGACTAGTCTATCAATATGACTGCCACTCCAGAGAAAGGAATACCCAGAAAAATTCAGGTCAGAGACGGTATTACTTAAACCAAGGTAACATTTACTTAGCAACTACTTCTATACAAATTTATTCAAATGAAAGATTAAAAGAAAAAGGTATGTAAAAAGAGGATAGGAGAGTTTTTCTACATAACTAGGGGCTGGACTGTGTCTCTCAGAATGTGGAGGGAAAATCAAGGCCGAGGATACATAGCTAGCCCAGGGAGCAAAGATGTCGGAAAATGGTAGACGGGTATTACTGTAGAAACTATGAGTTAGATGCTTCTACTTTCAAACCAGGAACCTTTCTGGCTTTCCCAGAGCTCCATATCCTCCCTCCTACCCGTGTCCTTGTCCGGTGACAAATGGGCTGTACTTTCCCCAGATACCTCATTGATCAACATGCGGCTGGCCATGGAGAGCCGGGTCTTGGGTGGAAAGTGGCTTGTGATCATGATTCGAAGCCCAGCTTCAGAGAAAGAGAGCTGGTGTGGGTATGCTGACAGCAGCTCGTCCACCATGATTACAGATGCTTTGCGGTGGAAATTGGCTGGGAATGAAAGACATGAAATAAAATAAAATAACATGGAGTCCAGGAGCAGGGAAGAGGCATTCATTCAAATTTCCTTCCCTTTTCTTCATCTGATCTGTCCCTCTCTCCTTCCCATCTTCCCATCCTCCTATCTTCCCACTCATCCATCTATTCATCATCCATTCATTCATTCAAGGAGAGCTATAGAAAATTAGGAAAGGAAAAAATCTCCTTTCCATTAGCTTCATTGGCAGCCCTTTTGAAATAACTGGAAACAAGTTAAGCATTTATTGACATGGTTAAGATTGGATGATAACAAGAGCATTCCTCACTTTTCCCAAAGGATTCTTTTCCCACTATTTAGGTCTAGGGCACAAAAAGACCTTCTCACACTATTAACCTTTAGTAACTCTTTACACCCTTCAAATGTCAGCAATGTTCATACCAAGCTGTTAACTACTACAGAATTGATTTTAGTGCTACCTGGAGGACTTGGTGGGAAGTGTACCCATTCTCCCAGGCCACCTATAGGTAGAACCATCCACATTACAGAGGCCTGATGTACAGAAGATTTGGGCTAAATCCTGTGTAGTAATATGCTGGGTGGTCTGAAAAAATGGTTCACCAAAGTCCAAACTCCCTTTCTATAAATGAGTAGTATTTGCACATTGTATCCTGGTAGCTGATATACCCTTTCCTAGGACTGGGGCCTGTTTTCTAAGCCATTAAACTGTGAAATGATTTCTGAAAACACTGAATACTAATATGAGGAAGCTCCCTCTGCCTTCTTAAGTATATTCCTTTTATGGCTATAAACTATCCAGAAGGAAGTACACTAAATGAAATCCTCATGCGGAATGGCACTAAATACTCTTAATTATTTTGTTAAACATGTACATAATTATTCAAAAAATAAGTAAAATATTTGATTTCCAATATCTAATAATTACTTAGAAATCTTAAAGCAAAAGAAATTATTTGAGAATACCTATATATTTACAATTTAGTTTTTGTTTTTCCTATAAAGCAACCATATGATACCAAGAAGAAATAAACCCACACATTTCAAGGGGGGAAATTTTAAAAATTATATGAAAACTGGAACATGACATTAGCAGAAAATTAAATGACAATTTTCTACTTTCCTGTAAGAAAGAATATTATTAATTGGAAAGCACTGTATCATCTCCTTTAATAAATCAACTGCTTTATAAGAATCCACTAATATCAGCATTGCTTTGAAAAAACAGGTAACTCACTCTCTCATTTTGCAGATCAGAAACTGAAGTAATGGAGTCTGACAGTGAGGTTGTATACAGTAATATTCTCATAACAATTATCATTAATTTAATACTGTGCTAAACTCTTTTACACACATATTCTATGAGATTCTGTGAAGTAGGTAAAATCATCCCTATTTTGCAGAATAGGAAATTGAGTCTTAGAGAGGGTCAGAAACTTGTTTCATAGACATACAGCCAAAATGTGGCAGAACCAGTACCTCAAAGCTCATAGTCTCCTATCCTTGACCACTCTGTCTCATTTCTCTGTATCATTCCTAGAAAATATATTGCTCAAGAACTTCCACAGGGCTTTTTGAGTTGGCTCATCACCAGGTGTGAGACTGTCTCATGATGTAGCCAAATGGAGATAGAGGACTGGAACCTTCCTTCTCCTAGTCCTCTCTCTCAGGGCAGTTGCCATACATATGTGGCTGTGAGAGTGGACCGACAGGCTCACATTCTAGCACTTCCTTCCTGGACACAAATATCTCCTTGGTTACCTTTCTTTAGTAGCACCACAGTTGCGTCACAATTGCTGTTGTCATCAATTTCAGTATTGTTGGCCAACCCGTTGACCATGTTCCCAGCACCTTTTGTCCTCCTTTCGAAGCACTGATGTATGCAAGCATTATACCTGAACAAAGCAGTAAATGGAAAAAATCCATCAGAGGATGCTGTTCTTTCATTTCCCAACTCCCGCAGAGGCTCTCTGATGCACTCTCAGTCTAGATGGGACTCCACGGCTCAAATTATTATTATTGTTATTATTGCAACAACTCATTTCCTTCAGAATACACAACCTGTCCCATTTAACAATTTAAGGACATATGGTCAAAAAATAAGTGACAATAAAATTAACATCACATAAATAAGTAACGACATACAACTTTTTATTTATTTATTTATTTATTTATTTTTGCGACCTTTTCAATGTCAGTGGAGGTACCTCTGAGATTCAGGTCTCTTACTCTAAGTCTGAATATGGGAGAGCTTTGGTAAGATTCAATGGGATGGTCCAGATCTACTTCCTCTGGGTCATGTCTCCAGGATCTCTGCTGTCAGAGAAGGACAGCTGTGTGAGAAGGAAAAGGTACCCCTCCATACTCCTACCCAGTGTCCATACCTCATAGTCTACATGTTACAGGTTGGTAGAATGTCTGGATTTCCATCTATCTATGATTTCCTGAGGTCACAAGTTGGAAGCCTGTGGGTTTCTATTATTGTTGTTCCATGATTGCAGGCCTGAAGGTCTTTTGACTTTAGGGGAAAAAATCTGAACTATGATACCCAGAAAGACTGAGTGAAAACTTGTCCCAGTGAACTTTGTTAGAAGGGAAGAAGCTTACTAGTGTAAGTTCCTAGTAAATAATGAATGAAATTCTTTTGCATGCAAAAACTGGACAATGGAAAAGGAAGACCAAAGAACTGACACATTTGGATTATGGTGTTGGCAAAGAATATTTTATATACCATGCACTGCCAGAAGAATGAACAAATCTGTCTTGGAAGAAGTACAGCCAGAATGCTCCTTAGAAATGATAATAGCAAGACTTTGTCTCATGTACTTTGGACATGTTATCAGGTAGACCAATCCATAAGAAGGACATCATGCTGGTAAAGGGTCAGTGAAAAAAAGGAAGACCCTCAGCAAGATGGCTTGACACAGTGGCTGCAACAGTGAGCTCGAGCACACCTACTACGGTGAGGATGACACAGATTGGGCGATGTTTCATTCTATTATACACAGGGTCACTGGGAGTTGGCATAGACTCAATGGCACATAACAACAACAACAAAATCTTAGAAAACTCATGGGCAAAGATAACCAGGCAGAGTTCCAAGGGGTTACAGCCCATTACTGCTTTTTCCTCCATATCAAATATATAAAGGCCTCCATGGCTTCACTGTGCACAGGGCAACCCATTGAGGGTTACCACTGGTGCAGTGCCTAAGGCACTTGACTGCTAACCAGAAGGCTGGGAGTTCAAACCCACCAGCCACTCCTTGGAAGGAAGATTGGGCAATCTACTTCTATGGTGATATTGCCTAGGAAACCCAAGGGAGGGTCCCTATGAATCGGAGATGACTCAATGGCACATAACAACAATAACAACCAGCCTCCATTCCTTGGCAGCTGGCACAGTAACCCTAATTGCCAGCTAGAAATTGTAAGCTTCCTTATCCTTTCCTCTTTCTCATCTCTTTTGCTGCTGAAGATGCTGAGGCTCTCTGGTGTCCCTACCATCAACATCCTGCACCTGGTTCTCCTGTCAGCAAGGACAGCACTGGGATGGGCCTGACTATGAGGACCTGACAGCCACTATGACGGAGAAGGAGGGACCCCAGTGGCTAGGCCTTTTTTTCCACAAGCCTCTTCCCCACTGCCTGGGAGGCTGCGATTCTTCCTACACTGCATGAGGGAGGAGAGAAACTAATCATAAGTGATGGGCGGTAGCTGTGACAGGGAAGTGGGCCAGCCAGTCTCAGGGAACTCTCATGATTTATGAGAGGAGGGGGGCAGAGTTAGAACATAATGATTTTGCAATCTTAATGAGATAATAGATCCAGATATTGAGCATCAATGGCTGCAAACATCACAAAAAGAGAGAGAAGCAGCCATTATCTGCTGCCTGATGGCAGGACTCACCACCACTTGGGACTTGGTCTAGTTTGAAATGGATCAATTATTGACACACAGGAAACAGTGCGCAGAGGAACAGGAGGCACTGCAGCTGAGTATGTGATCAACAATTTCAAACTGTGGAACAAACAGCCCAGCTGAGTTTATTCAAAGAATTAATTGCAAGGGAAAACAACAACTACTATAGAGGAATCTATAGATTAAAAGAGATTCAAAGATAGAGCAACAGATTCCAATGTGCTAATTTATTTGGATCCTGATTTAAGAAAAAGAAAACTATGAAAACATTTATGACATTCATGACACTAAGAAATGTAAAAACTGACATTTATGAGATAATTATAAATTTGAACATTTGTTAGATATCTAATAATATAAATGAATTATCATTAATTTTAGGTATGATAATATTCTGGTCATTTTCAAAATGAGTCTTTAGAGACATAATGAATTTGTATCAATGAACCAATATGATGCCTAGGACTTCAGTATGGAGGTAAGGAAATGGATGGCATTCAATTTTATAAAACCCATTGTATAGTGATAGATACATGGGACTTGCTACACTTTTCTAGAGACTTTTGCATATATTCAAAATTTTTCATAATAAAATGATACAAAAGGAAGTCATGAGAAAAAATATATAAATAAAAGAGGAGGGGTGACAGAAAGTGGCTTAGACAGGCTCCTTGGATTTTTGTCAGTAGGAGGTTCCATCTCTCACTCTTTCGTCCTCTGATTCTGTGGCTTCCCTTCTCCTTCCTCATCCTGCCTCTCTGGTTCCAATTCTTCCAGACTTCTGTTCCCAGGTCCTCAATGCCACAGCCAGTGGCCTATTGCTGGGGGTTCCTCCTTTTTAGACTCAACAAGAATGGTCTTCCCTACTGACACAGCTGCAGGGGAGAGGCAGAGGTTCTGTCATCTTGACTCAGAGCCCATTTTCCCTACAGAAATGTTGATTTGCATGAGGATCAGCTTTTAGGGTACAAGTATGTGTTACACACATGCAGGAGACCTGGATTCAATTCCCGGCCAAGATCTCATGTGCAGCCACGACCCATGCATGTTGCAACATGTATGCGAAGGCTTGCATGTTGCTGTGATGCTGAACAGGTTTAAGTGGAGCGTCAGACTAAGACAGACTATGAAGAAAGGTCTGGCAATCTACCTGAGGAAATCAGCCAATGAAGACCCTATGAATCACAACAGTCCAATGTACAACACTGTGATCATAAAAATGGCACAGGACCAGGCATTATTTCATTCTGTTGTGCATGGGGTTGCCATGAGTCTCAACTCATGGGCCAACTCAACAGCAGCTAACAACAACAACATGTTACACATTCACTGGGGTTTGGATAACAGGAGAATAATAATACAGAAAAACACTTTTTCTAAACCAGGTGCTGGGATTATTGATAGCTTAACTATTCTGTCACATTCCATCCTCACAAAATCTCTTTGAATCCTGCTGTGCAGAAGAGGAAACAGGTTCAAATCATCTGAATAACTTGGCCAAGTTCTCCCAGCTAGTTAAGTGGCAAGAGTAATTTGTGGCCAGGGCAGAGTGCAAAGCACTTGTTCTTCATTACCAGACCATATGGCCTAATTTGGGGCCTAAATCCCAAAGAAACGACCAGGATGTGCAGAAACCAATCCTCACAAAGGCCATATATGCCTCATTCACCTTTAAAATTTCTACCTATCTGGTAGGACTGATCTTGTTTTTTAACCTTCAGACAGAGTGCTTAAAGTCATTTTGAAGCCATCTACCCAGGAGCCAGCTGATGATTCTAATACATGCAGTTTTTAACTGCTGCTGCTGTTTTATATTTTTAATTAAATGTTTTAAATTGTGTGCCTGCACCCAGAAGCTATTTTATTGTAAAGCATGCAATTTTATAAATCAGATTTTATAAAACCCAGTGATTAAAGCCTCTGATTGCAGAGGGGATGGCTCAAGAGTAGAGATTTCAATTTAGAATTTAGGACCAGAATTTATTTAAATTCCACAAGCTTCCAAACCCCATTTTATTTGCATCCTGCTGGTCTGAACAGCTGGATCTTCCGTAAAGTCGAAATATACCTCATTAGCTTCCTCACTGGGTTTGGTTTGGGACAGAGAAACGGAATTGTGTATTATGCTAGCTCAATGCCTGCATGCCTTATCAAGCAAGGCTCAGTACAGGGTTATGATGGTCATAGAATCATACCACCAAAATTTTTCAACCTTTCTTTCCTTTAGACTAAATATGTTTTTGAAGAGACTTCCTTATTCTGCAAAGCCCCTAGTGAATTATAAAGAAATGAGAAGTCAGTAGGGCACATTCTTTCATCAAAATTCAAATTTAAGACAAAGCGCAACATTGGGCATGCGGCAGTCACTTGGTGAATAATTTAAGAATAATTCACTGATCCATCTTCTCAAAAGGGATGAGGAGGAATCTTGGTAACTCAAACTCAGAGTCTCAAAAAGGTCACAGAAGCTGAGATAATCAAACCCAAAACACTGAAGGAAAATGTATTGCTTGAGGCCTTATCACTATGGAATTGATTCATGATATAGAAGATGGCTATATCCATCAAAATGCCTTTTCCCTTGAATCTAGAAACTGTGGAAGGTCTCTGGACCAACTCTGGTTTTCTTGGGAGCTCATGTATTAGAATTTTTAAATAGAATGTGATTAGATTATGAAAACACAATCTTCATCATTTACTTCATGGGTAGTACTCCACACCATAAGGATTTGTTTGGATAAGGTACAATTCTGGAACTGTCCTCCTCTAGTAATAAGACCCAGATACAGGGTGCACACTGACCACCAGACAGCTCTTCTGGCTAAGGCTGGATGCCATATGGAGTTAACTGGCGCAACACCAGCAAAGCCAGGTCCTCCCTTCACAATTCATATGATTTTTGCCAATGGCCACACAGATTTCTCAATAGGTCTCTCAGTCACTGATGGCCAGAATTAATTTTTCTCAGGCTTTAGCAGCAAGACCTACTTGATGTGTCAATTCCAGACTGCTACCTGATATGCTCAAATTGGCAGTTTCTGATGTTCTCCACTTTCTTATTGCCTAGAAAATGTAGTCAACCCCATGGTCACATATACTGGGAACAAGTATAGTTAATTCGGAGGAAAAGGAACAGCTCCCATGGGGGCTGGCAGCTACACCACTAAATAGCTCTGTGTTATTTATCAACTCATCATATCAATGATATTTAGCAAAAAGATGAACCTATAGGTTCACAGCAATAGTTCTTATATTTTATCTAATGGTATGGAAGCATCGCCAGTATAGTTCTTGGTACAAATAATTAGCTTCCCAGATTCCAGGAACAAAAAAGAATATATAACTTGGTGGTTTTAAAATACAGCCAAAAAACTCTTTGAAACTCCTCACTTCAAAAAGTGAAGCCCAGTTTCCTTCTCCTTGAGTATGGACTTAGTGACTCACTTCTAATGAACAGAATGTGGTAGAAGTGATGGTGTGTAACTTTTGAGACAAGATTACAAAAGGCACCATGGATTCTTTCTTGGTTAACATGCTCTGGGGAAAGCCAGCTGCCATGTTGGGAGGATAGTTAAGCAGCCCCATGGAGAGGTCCACATGGTATGGAAATGAGCCCTCTAGCCTACAGCCAGCACCACTTGCCAGCTATCTGAATGCGCCATCTTGGAAGTGATCCTCTAGCTCCAGTCAAGAGGATGACTGTAGCTCTGGCTACCATCATACTGAATCTCATGAAAGATCCCAAGCTAGAACCATCTAGCTAACCTGCTCCTGGATTCCTGACTCTCAGAAACTGTGAGGTAATACATATTTGTGGGTTTAAAACCAAACCAAACCAAACTCACTGCCGTCAAGTCAGATCCGACTCATAGTGACCCCTCCTTGGGTTTCTGAGGCAGTATCACTACGGAAGTAGATTGCCCAACCTTCCTTCCGAGGAGCGGCTGGTGGGTTTGAACTGCCAGCCTTCTGGTTAGCAGTCAAATGCCTTAGGCACTATGCTACCAGAGCTCCTATTTGTTGGTTTAAGCCACTAAATTTAGGGGTAATTTGTTACACAATACAATAATGCAAATTCACAGATACCTGACCCATGCTTTTAGTCACCTCTTAACTAGCTCTGTTTCCATCTTACCTCACTCTATATAGGATCATATTACCTCCTTTCTTTAGAACAGAGAGTGAGAAATAGCTAAAAGTTAGGTTGTCAGATTGTGAAGAGGGAGAAAGTATTCTAGAGATTTTTCATTTAAGCTTTGCTTCTATCACCACATATGGATTGAAATGGTCATTGCTATTGGCCCTACCCAAATGACAGTGATTCATAGCAGGTTGCCAAAGGAGTCAAATAAGCCTAAGATGACATGCAGTGAAAACTTATCAGACCTTCCTCCCCTGCCCTTGCTCCTCTTTCCATATCACCACATAATGTTGAAGGTAGGAAACCATTTTGGAAAAGTAGGAAAGTACTTTACTTACTTCATGATGACAATGTAAATAAGATACATCAGGACAAGGACTAAAGACTCCCACCTGCATACAAACCAAGAATAGTTAGTTCAGGAAAGCCATCATCAGCAGGTGTGAAACACATTTGGCTATTCTTTAAAGACATATTTGATGTGAACAGCAGTTAAATCTGCCAAGGGTGGCAAGGATGAGGTAGACTTGCGGACTGGCGATGAACATTTCCTGGTCTATAGAAAATTTCTGTGCTGCATAACATTTTCAATGGTTTTTCTTTTTTTTCTCCACGTAAAAGGAAAATGCCTTTTCCTCTCTTTTATTTGTTCATTTAAAAGAATTTCTTAACCACAGCAAATCTTTCATGTACATTGCTAACTATAGATCTATGACTATAAATATGCCTACAGTTTAAATCATTCACTAAAATTATTCAGATATATTTACAAAAGGCATACTAGAGGCACTGACAGGGGTAACTGAAAGACTGTTTGATGCATAGGAGTTAGACTAAAGAGAGAGAGCCCTGGGCAGGGAAGGCAACAAAAGGAAAGGTGAGAATGAATGAGTGGGAATCAGTTGAGATAGAAGAAACAAGAAATAATAGAACTCACTGGAAGGCACCTTGCATTTCATATAATTTAAATACTTCTGCTATATTCTTTTTCTTCCTTTTTTTTAGTGTCTTCTGTTTTATATATATAC